TTTGTGTAGTGTTCCTGAAATTAGAAATGACGTGCTGGTCCGTGGGCTGGATTGGAGGAGTTGTTAGGTGGAGAGGACCCAGCAGGGGTGAGGCTGTGGGTGGTGAGGACCCGGCAGGGTGAGGCTGTGGGTGGAGAGGACCCGGCAGGGGTGAGGCTGTGGGTGGAGAGGACCCGGCAGGGGGGAGGCTGTGGGTGGAGAGGACCCGGCAGGGGGGAGGCTGTGGGTGGAGAGGACCCGGCAGGGGGGAGGCTGTGGGTGGAGAGGACCCGGCAGGGGGGAGGCTGTGGGTGGAGAGGACCCGGCAGGGGGGAGGCTGTGGGTGGAGAGGACCCGGCAGGGGGGAGGCTGTGGGTGGAGAGGACCCGGCAGGGGGGAGGCTGTGGGTGGAGAGGACCCGGCAGGGGGGAGGCTGTGGGTGGTGAGGACCCGGCAGGGGTGAGGCTGTGCTCCTCCAGCAGCTCCGCGCCAAGCCTGGAGGTGGCCATGAGCCTCGTCCATGACAAGAAGTGCCCTGAGTGGCAGTTGCGTTTCCCGGAGGTATTTCTTCACACTTGGAGCCCACACTTCATGGATCCACTCAATAAAAAGCTTCCTGGCCACCATGCTTTGCTGCTGGCCCTCCACATTCTACTTGGTTTTCACGGCATTATTTTTCTGGGAAACTTGCAGGTTTTCGGAATGGTGGACGAGTAGAGGCTTCCGTTTGAAGTCCCCACTCGATTCCCACACAACAGTCACGTCAGCCGCCCTTCACTGGCCGTGTCCCGGCGATGCCTCTGGTGTGGCGGGTCCTCGTGGGCATGTCCTCCCCGGAGAGGCCTGTCTGGTCACAATGGGACGCTGATGGGAGCGGATCCCTCGGCCTCCACAAGTTCCGTCACGAAGTCCTGAGCAGCTGCTTTGCTAGAGCTGGCAGCCTCCCCACGCTTCTCCGCCGGGTGCGCTTCTCCCTAACCACCAGGGCCTGCAGCCTTACGGACAGCCTCGGCACTGGCTCCGGGCCGTTTCGGGAGGCCAGTGTGCAGCGTTCCACTTTTCACAGGCTTGCCTTTGAAATGTTATCACTGGCTAGCTGCTTTTCATTTATCCAAATCAACAACCACTTTTCTAACTCTGTAGTTGCCTGCAGTTGTTGTTTCATGAGCACTTCCCCACCCTTAGCAACATCAATCAGCACTCTTGATGGCCTCTTTATGTTTTAAAGTTGTGCTATGTGCCCTGCCATACTCGGTAACCAGGTCAGACACACGAACACCTCTATCATACCTCACAATTATTTCTTTTTTAAGCTCTATCATTGTTCTCACAACTTTTTAAAAACATATTTTTTAAAATTACTTTTAGAGAGAGGAAGGGAGAGGGATAGAGAGAGAGAAACATCAATGAGAGAGACACATGGATCGGCTGCCTCCTGCATGTGGGGGATCGAGCCCATAACCATGTGCCCTGACTCAGAATCAAACCAATGACCTCTTGGCTCCTAGGTTGATGCCAGCCGGGCCTCACAACTTTCCTTTTCACTTTGCTGCTGTCACTCACATTCTTAGCACCCAGGATAATTTACTAGAGGTGTTTAATAATAAGCAGCCACAAAACAAAAAACACGAAGAAATTCACAGCACAGTTTCCTGAGATGTTAACAACACAAGGATAAGCAGTTAACTGACTCATATTCGTGCATTCTCTCCTTTGTTTGTTGCCTGAGAAACATGTGACTGACCATACAGGTGTATTGGGTCAAAAATTGAAATTTTGTTCAACAACCAAGATAAGTTTCCCGTGAACAACTTGGTCGAGAACCGAGGTTTGACTGTACTCACTTTCCACTGACGAAAGTGAGCTGATGGGGCTGGGCTGGGGCAGGAGGCTGTTGTGTTCTTAGAAGGTGTCAGAGAACTGATGGCCGAATCTGCGTGGACGGCAGCTCTCCAGACCCTGCCACTGGGAACAGGAAGTTTGGTCCAGGGGCAGAAGCAGAAGATGCCAGAAGCTTTCTTTTGTCCAAAGAACAGAACCCATAGTTTAAATCAGTAATTGTTTATTTATCTGAAATTTGATGATTTAAAACTGTCAAAACTTGAGGAATACAGAAATGAATAGGATATGGTTCATGTTTTATAAGGTTTTAGTCTGGACTTCGGCGTACAAGCCAAAGGAACAAAGGAAATAAAAGCATAACTTTCTTTTTTCCCCTCAATAGACCTTCCTCTGGGTCTTTCAACCCCTGACACTGTAGGCGCACAGGTGGGAAAAAGAACTGCGTGAAGAGCAGGGGGGGGGCCACTGAGTCACTACCAGCCAGGGCCCCTCAGGGGGCCAGCACTGCTGGTCACTGCTCCCCGGTGGTTTCCACCGCCTCTGCCCCTGGCCGTTTTCCACCTCCCCTGGAACAGGTTCTCCCAGCCCTGGGTCAGAGGGGCCCTGCTTTATCGCTGTCACCGCAGTCTGTTGCCAGCCTAAGTGACCACCTTCCTCTGTCCTCTGAAGTAGGACAGTGAGGCTGCTCTCGAGGACAGGATTCAGTGCTGGCTGCTCTCCCCGAGCAGGGCGGGACTCAGTGTGTGCCTGGTGGGAAGAAGACAGGAACACAGGTATTTGGGCATTGACCCAGCAAAATACTAGAGGCACAGAGCATCTCTGGATGTCTCCCACTTCTGTGTTTCCTCATATGGCTGTTCCTTTACAGGTGCCCCACCCCCTGCCCATTCCCATTGGCACCAGAATCTTGCTCAGTAGAGAATGCACCTAACCTGCTCAGGGGTCCCACAGGGGTTGAAATAGCAGCAGGTGGGCAGGGGGTGGATTAGCCAAGGCAGTTTGGTTGCAAATAACAAATGCCAACTCCAGCTTGCCTAGGCAGAGAGGAAAGTTTGTCATGAAAAGGCAGGGCTACCTACAACCCTGGGGTATGCGGGGCCTGGGGAATGGACAGAAGGGATCAGCAAAACCCTCCAAATCTCCTGTATGTCTCACTAGGCACACCTGCTGCACCTTCTCCCATCCACAGGATGGGGCTGGCACAGGACTGACTCCCAGGGCCACATCCACGGACAATCTCACCCGCAGGCTCCAGGCCCAGGCCAGACTCTTGCGAGGGGGAGAAGCTGCTGGGCCAGCATGGGGTGTGTCTTTCCCCTCCCTGCCTGGGGCCATGGAACCGGGTCTGTTGACACGCTGTTTGGGCAGGTGCCCCAAGAGTTCTCAACTGACTGGAGAGAAGAGTGATGGTTTTTTAATCTTCATTCTCCTCGTCTCATATCAGCTGGATGGAAAGCAACACGGATGAAAAGGGGCTCCCTGAGCTGTTGGCCCTCCCATAGAAACAGGCCTCCAGCAGCCCCAGGAGGAGCTGCCATGCTGCTTCTCCCGCTCCCACAGCAGCGTGGGTGCTGGTGGTTAGGCCCAAACTCCAGTGCTAGTGCATGGGAAGCTAGGTCCCAGGCCTCAGCTGGAGTGTGAACCAGGCGGCTGAGGCCAAAGCAGCTGGTGGAAGATGGGGCTCGGGGTCACTTCCCAGGGGGCAGGCCTCTTGTGACTGCTCCCCAGCTGGGATTCCAGGGAGGCCTCAGCAGGCACCTCTGCCCAACTCAGGATCCTGAGGAAGGTGTCAGCCAACCCGACAGGGGCTGTCCTGATGCAGGGTTAGTCCCTGAGCGTGCAAATTAAATAAGTGGATCAAGGGAGCCAGACTGACGGTATGTTTCTGTTAAGTAAGATGCATCACTTGTAATTAACAAGGCATTTTGGAAGCTGGCCTTTTCACTTCGAGTGGGTCTGCAGGTAAGCGATAGTGTTGCTCTGGCCGCCTTGGGATTGGTTGGGGCATTGCTGGAGCCGGGAGGTGGTTAAATGCTGGAGACAGCAACGGAATTAGCACAGGACCCTGGCCCCCAAGGCTCCGCCTTCCCCTGGGAGTTTGTAAGGTGATGGGTGACTCTGAAGAGCTGGGCCCAATTTGGGGGGAGCTGTTTGGCTATACTTTTAAAAAATGTGTTCTGGCCCTAGCTGGTTTGGCTCAGTGGATAGAGCATCAGCCTGCAGACTGAAGGGTCCCAAGTTCGATTCCGGTCAAGGGCACATCCCTGGGTTGCAGGCTCCACCCCCAGTAGGAGGCAGCTGATCAATGATTCTCTCTCATCATTAATGTTTCTCTTTCTCTCCCTCTCCCTTCCGCTCTGAGATCAATAAAAATGTATTATAAAAAATAAAATGTATTCCGTAACTTCCAAAGAACAGATTTTTTTTTTTAATTTTTAAAGAGTTTCATGAATCAGTGGTAAGTGGCAATCCGTTTCCATCTGTGTTCTTTCCTCTCTGTGCTGTTTTCATGTAAAGGAAACTAGTGCTCACGCTTTCCTGTGGGTTTCCATGCGGGCACGTGTGCGTTGACATTGCGGGCGGCACGGGCTCCCCTCCCCGCTCAGCCCCAGACCGGCTCAGCTGTAGGGTTCTCGCATCTGCTGAGACCTAGAGGGGCCTTTCCCAGCCACACGCCGCGGTCTCCTTCCTGGCAGTTTGCCTGTGGTTCCTGCCTCCACTGACGAGAACCCCACACAGCAGTGTGGGAAACGGTGAGCGAGCTTGCAGACCCACAGCGCCCCTGGCCCCACAGCAGCCTGGCGGCGGCCTCTGCTCACCCTTCAACTAAACTCACCAGAAATTGATTTCCTTGCGATTAGGGAAATGCCTGCATGTTAGGATGTACTGCAAAGCTTGGGTGTTATTTCTCTCTCTCTTCTCCAAGGAAATACAGATGCTGAATTAAGTTTTATGTTTTTGTTCATGCTCAACAGCACCATTGAAAAACCAAGATTTTGCCACCTGCCTTGTGGCAGCGCTGGCAGGGGGAGAGGGACAGGATAGTTTGCCAGGGCAGTTCGCATTGGGGTCCAGGGGAGCACTGGCCTCTGAGAGAGCAGCTGGGTGCGGTGGGTGTTCAGGCGCCGTGACAGCTCTCGGGAGACACGCTTCCTAACAGGACTCCTTTCTCCTTCCAGGCGTGGGCCGACGCCTTTCGAAGCAGTCCTGACCTCACGGGTGTTGTGCATATATATGAGGAGCTGAAGAGGAAAGGGGTCGAGTTTCCTAATGCAGATTTGGATGCTCTGTCTCCCATACACACACCGCAACGGGTAAGTTCCCAGCTGGCATTTTCTAGAAAGGCCTATTGCAGAATACACACCCGCCCCTCTGCGGCTCCATTTGAATTATTCAGCTTGTCATCACGCTGTCTTGAAGCTCGAGGGCATTTCTCTTTAATAACAAGGGGAGTGCAGGAGTGAGACAGCTGGCTGATAGTGATTAAGTGGCTGCAGTGTCTCCCCCAGTTTTCATCCTGCCTGTGGAAGAGCATAATAGAGGGATCATTTCAGACGTTCTCATGGAAATGGCTGCTGGGGGAAGCCATTCTCTGAGGGTCATTAGCACCTGCTCTTCAGAGGCCCCAGGAATGGGCGGGCCGGCCTCACCTAGAGAACAGGAGCACCTCGGTGTTGGCAGTGCGGAGATGAGTGTGCCGCTGTGCTGGGCAGGGAACAGCTTGGCTTTCCCAGCCGTGCAAGCTAATCAGATGCTCTAAATGGACCCATTATCAAATGGCTCTAAAATTTACGGAGAGCTGGGAGCATTCGGCATCAGCCCAGACAGCTTGGGATTCAAAGCCCATGGGAGGCCCTGTAGAGGCCTGCCGCGGAAGCCTTCGAGGCAGCCCTGTGCTGCAGAATTAAAAGCCTGCAGGAGAGGCTGGCCCCCTTCCCGGGAGCTCGTGTGCACCCTGTGGGCTGGGATCCAGGGGAGCCAGGTCTCGGGACACTGCCTTGCGGGCCCCTGTCAGCCCATCTCTGAAATGGGGGAAGAGGGCAGCAGCCTGTGCACGTCTTGTCGTGTGAGCACCGTTCATGCTCAAGAGGGTATCAGAGACGCCCACAGGGAAGCACCAGGAATTGTATTTTCCAGAGCAGTTTTCAGAATGACCCTCCAAAAACACTGTGACTTGTGGAATAAACATAACTGTTTTATTCTTCTAATAACTAGTGGTCCAGTGCACAAATTCGTGCACATTGAAAGCAATTAATTAGAAGAAATATTTTAATATCGCTATTCATCCTTTCTCTGTAATAGAAGTGTCAACCAAATTCACGATCGACAATGACAGGTTGAAACACACACGTGCGATTGGCGCCAGTGAGAGCTTTATATTT